CTGCTGCCACACCTCTGTACAGTCAGCAGTACGACTTCGCCTTCGGACCTTGGGTTTGGTGCTTGTAGTCTTACCGCTCTTCAACCGACCTGTCTGACATTGTAGGACCTTGAGGAACGGTTGTTCCAGCCAATATAGCTCGGTTGTTTCATCACGATAGGCAAGCCCGACCACCACGTCAAGGTAGCAACAGCGATCGGGCTTTAAACTTTCATTAAGCTTTAAATACTGTTTCACTAGTAAATTTTATATTCTACAATAAATGTTCTAGATGGTTATTAAAAGTTTTGTATATTTACTATAAGTTTAATATTTGTATAATATCATGTATTTGTTGTTAAACATTTCAACAACAACGACAATGTCGACGACAAGAACAACAACAAAAAGTTACCATTTCGTTTACATTTCAAATCAATCAGTGATTATAATATTGTAAACAAAACAATCATAATGAAAATATCAATTCAGTTGGCTAAATGAAAATTATACAAAGAAAAAGTAAACAAACTTAATATGTTATTAAAACAAAAGAAAAAACAAAAACAAACTTACAGCATTTTCTGTTTTCATTAAAAATTCCGTATACCATAAACGTTTTTGTTTAGTTTGTGATAAATAAATTGATGACATTTGTTCTGTAATAGGACTAACACAAGTTTCTAAACCGCTTAAACGACAATAAACACTAATTCCATCTCTCCAATGACCACCATTTGGATCAACATAATACATACCTATTTGAAAAAAGAATTCTTAGATAAATCATATATATATATATATATATATATATATATATATATATATATATAAGTGGTATTTGTTAATGAATAAAAACTGAAAACTTGAATAAGTTAACTAACATCAATAGATTAAGTGTGAATTATAGTTTTAACATTAGACTTGATTTTGAACATTATTGATTATGTTTTTGGTTGAGATCATGAATCAATCGATGTTAGACCACCATTGGAAACCTGGAAGCACTGGACGGCTGTTTCGTCCTAGTGCGGGACTCCTCAGCAGTGCGCATCCACGATCCCGCACCCCAGGACCTACTGGCTTCGCGCCTGAGCACTTAACCATTAGACCACTGAGCCGGCATCCAATGGTGTTAGTGTCTAACATCAACCAATCCACGAAATTGCTCGACCAACTTCCATTGTACTGAGGTAGATACCTGTCTCTACCCGACACGGATTAGCTCCACTGGTCACGACTTCTCACTAAAAATCCGAGAATTCCCTCACGAAGCTAGTCACTAGTGAGCACATGTTGATTATGATAACGAGATTGGACAAGTGATACTCATAACATCTTTATGAAGATTACTGATGAAATGTATGTACTAAATATTACATTCATTAGAAGTTACATTAAATATGTTTTCATTGAGATTCAAACTTGGTTTGTTTAGCTTGAGAAATTTATCAAAATAATGAATTAAGCTAACAATCATTCATATGTAAATTTTACTGATTCATTGAATAGAATAGTTCAACACTTCGTATCACCTTAAAGTGTCTATCGTGTGAATTTTTTTAAAATATCTGAATCTAGAAGTTTTGAACAAATAGCTCAACTGATTTTGAGATGATGGAGAAGATTTGTAGCTCAGGTGGATGATTTTGATGAAGTTCTGTCCTCTACGCTAGATGGTTTAGTCGTGGAGCTTTCATTGTTCTCCTGGACGACATCACCAGCACAAACTTCAGGTAGAAGTGAAGTGTTCGAATTTATCCACAGGTGGTTCACAGCTTGTCCTGTAGACCAATCAGGAAAATTATGCACAAACATAGGAACAAAAATCGAACCAATGGCAGATACTACCAAAACAAAGAAGTAAACAAGGACAGGTTTAAGGTCAACAAGAACCAATCAACATAGAGGTCTACAGAACAAGCTGTGAATCACATGTGGATAAATTCGAACATTTCAGTTCTACCTGAATTTTGTGCTGATGATATCGTTCAGAAGAACGATGAAAGCTACACGACTAAACCAGCCAGCTCAGAGGAAAAAACTCCATCTAAATGACTCAGTTTTGTGCTGGGCTTGAAATACATGGGTTCTAGATTTAATCATATACAACACCTTAGGTGTACATTGTTGAGCGGCCTAGACTAGAATGAAGTTGCTGTCGAATTCTTCCTTATCTCTACTAGTTCTCTACCCGATGTTAGCTTATGATGGAAATTATTTAGTACAGAATTAGACTAATCAAAAACTCAATAGTACTGTCACTTTAATCATAATAAAGTTTCGATTACAAGTAAATTTGGATTAAATTGTTGTTTGGTTGAACATAGTCAACCAGAAACATTGAATCTCAGTTTATTAACGGTAAGATATGGTGCGTTCTACATCAAGTTACCCTGACTAGTGGTCTTCTTGAAACTTAATCCATGGAATTCGATCAGAAATAGGGACTAGGCAACATGACATACCTTAGTACCAAGTGTTACATTACACTAATACCAATTAAAAAAGTTTTAAATATCTTTTTTACGTCATATTCCTTAAAAATCACCCGTTTGCATTGTCTTCTGCTGAATTAATCATCAGGTTAACACACATGACTAAAATAACGACTAATTTTGTCATTTTCTTTTTCTGTTGACTAATTCCAGACTTTTATTGCTGTTTAAGAACAAAAAGTATTTTCTGCTCCAATCAATCATTAGTCGAATCAGTTACCGAAATGAACATGAAATAAAAGACACTCACAAACACTGAGAAATAGATCACTCAGTGATAATTAATTTTACGGATAATTTCAAATATTTGTAGCCCATTAAATGAACATGAAAGATTCTTATCTCATCAGATAAGGTTGCTAATAAGAGAGATTTGAGTGATGAACTAGTCATTGTATGTAATGTAATTTTAATAAACATGAACATAGTAGATAGTGTGCCTTAAACTCATAAGTTGAGTAACTTTTGGCATCAGTCAAACAAGAGACAGTCATATATATTCGTGAATAAAATAAAAGATTTCAATCAATCAGCAAGAAACCTCATGTAACCAACAAATTAGACTAAATTGAAAAATTCTCGTGTCGTCAGTTTTTCTGAAGTTATGTTGGCAATTGTAACTACCATAAGATTAGAAATTCCATCACCATTAAACTTAACAAAAAGCACATTTGCTTAATTATATATTTTTTCAAAAAGATCATTGCTTCAATATTGAATGCAAAACGGAATAACAGTTAGTACTGCTAATAACTTATTGTTTTCGTGAACTATAAAGAAACTGGTAGTGGATTCTTTTAAATAGGCGAAAAATAAATATCGACTAACCGTCTTTTTTCTCTGGATGATCTCTTTTTAAATCATGACATGTTCGGGCAGGATTGAATTGTGTTCCACTCCCACTATTCAAACTATTCACAAGTCTTCCAACTTGACGCAATGCTTCAAAAATATCTTCCTCCTTATTTTTAGTTGGAAAATGGTGTTTAGAAAAAAAGAAAAATCAAAATTGTGTAATGGAAGATGTGAAAGTAGTCGACTATATTAAGACCAAATAGCATTTGAATATCATGAAAATATCCTAGTGAAGATTATTGTGAAGGTAGGAGGCAAACTTTGAAGATATTCTCTACTGTTAATGAGTGTTGTCGAAAAAACCATTGAAAATTTCTAGTATTATGTAATTGTTTTGTACTAGATTGTGATTATTTAATAGCCAAGATATAGTTTACGGCAGAGAATCTTATGTCTATTGGCTAGCAAAGTACATCAAATGTTGTGTTAGAGACCTAAGTATCAATCGCAGATTTAAACATGGGTAGAGAGCTAGGTTATATAGAGCTTTTTCCATTGTGAAAAGTTTTGAAGAGAGCTGGTATGCATCTTTTAGCTAGTATGAGTTTCTTATAATGTTCTCATTTTCCCGCTAATCTGCTTGGATTATTAAGCAGGTTAACAATGAGACCGCAACCTCCTTTAAAAGTACAGGAAAGGGATATTTATTTACTTCATGAATCATATGATTTTTAAAGTAGAACAATTAAAGAACAAGGCAGTATGAGACTTAGCATTATTTTCATAGTGAAATACATCACGTGTATGTAGCAGAAAGCAGAATAAAATTTACAGGTATGCGCTAATGAATCACATTCCTTCTTTCAATGTCTAATAGTTTCTACGACCTATCTAGTCAACTAGGTATTTGGTTTAATTATTATAAATAACCTTGAACCATGAATCTTGTGATAATATCTGCTTATGCAGACATATTCAAAGGTATTAGAATGATAATCACACAAGATTACGATTATACACCATACAATACTTAAGAGTATTTGTATTCGTCATTTCCGCTTACCTCATCATTAGGATCAGTTTCTTTGCTTGGATCATAATCTTCATCACTCCATTCATATGAACGGCGTATTCTTCTTCCTCTATTACGGGGTTCATCAGCTTGCTAAATGAGTTCATGTTTTTTGTTTGTTTTTATTTCAGACAGGTACAATAATAAAAAAACGAGGCAAGAGAGAAACTATCAAAAAAATAATAAAATGCAAAACTAAATTTTCGAATTATAATTCTCACTAAATACTTACTGGTTTGTCCTTGAGTGAAGGACAAACTACTTTGAAAGATTATCTCAATGTGCACATACTTATTCACCTGCTTTTATAAAGTTAGCTATATAGATCATCCAACGCGGAACATTTTCAGATAAGCTAACAATCACCTCTTTACATAATTCAGCATACTATTTACAACTATAAAATCGTTTATTACACTATAAATGACTGGCCATATAGTACCCAACTTTCCATTCTATATCATATATAGGATCAGACTTAATCAACAGAAAAGTGTGTATTTTTATCTCCTTTGAATTGTAGATACTGTAGCTATACACAATCAAAAAAGAAGATCCGTATATACTGAAACGGTATGTACAATCCCTTTCATTTTCATGATTTTATTTTCATTTACATTTTTTTAAAAAACTTTTTTTAAAATTTTCCTTCATTGTTTCTGTAATGATCTTGCATCAACTTCGTTAGTTCCTTCTAATCAATTTTATCAACAAAAAGCCTTATAATAGACAGACTAATGATAGAATACTTCAAAATTGAATATGACTCTAACGACAATAGTTATCTTTAAGGTTGGCTAAAACTGTTAATTTATTTAGAATGAGTTCAATCTTTTATGAAGCCGGTTTGAAATGTAATTGAGTCCAAAGATTTTCCGTTTATTATTATTTTTTTTTTAATATATACTTGTTGACATGATGGAGAGAATTAATTACACTAAATTTTCATTTCATTTTGTTTTGTATACATGAATACCTTAGTAATTTGTTTATCAGCTCCAAATAACAAAACATGAATGAGTCGTTTCCTTGATTGAGAATTACGAGTTTGAGGCAATAACTACTATGTTTTAGGTTACACTGAGTTGATCATATTTCAATGTGTTGAAAGTAGATATATCTGAGGAGTTTTAAATAGGATGCAACACGAGTCCATAATTTCACAGAGTACTCAAATCTAAATAATGTCACAAAATCTTGTTAATCTGATAACAGTTTATCAATGTATTGACATTAACTGAAGATTTATTTGAAACCAGGAAGTATTGAATGGCTTTAGAATTCACCATCTTTACTTGAACATGATTCCATGCTGGCTTAAAGTCGACGATTTTTATAACTTAGGTGGAATTCAGTGACTTTATTAGATAGACATCATGATAGTTTTTGATGATATTTGTTTCACTAATAACCTAGCTGATTTTTAACAGCCATGCATTTTCACTAAGCTACTAAGAATCAAAATTCGAAAATCTTAAGTTTGATCCCATGTCAGGCTACGAGGATATCTTGTTAAACAGTCTAAAATTTGGAAAAAAATAGCTATTCAGTTTTCTCTGGCCTGCAATGGATTTCTAGTAGGTGTCAGTACTTCATAAATGAATCTATTTCCAGAACCACCTTACAAAATTGTTTAAACTTGAACAAAACTGTACTATGATTCACACATTGAAAAAAAACATACAAAACGTCCGTAAACTATCCTACTAGCAAAAACGTTATATGCATGCATTTTTATTGTATTCAGTAAATATCTGTTAAATATATTACCAATTAACTTTTCAACCTTACCATCATTCCAACATCTGAATCTCTTCTACGACTAAATAATGATGTATAGTCAGTTTTAAACTCTCCCGGTGGCCCAGGCAAACCCTATTCAAGAATCAATATAAAAGAAATTCATAGATGAATTAAATAAGGTAACCAGTTCAATTACCTTTTAAAACGGTTTTAAATGATACTGGAAAAAATTTAGGCTACATGTGTATCTTTGTGATGGAGCTTTATAGAAGTTAATTTAATTTGGAAGTGATTTTTATCATGGTTTGACATTCGTTAAGTTACCATTAAGGCTCAAGAAGTACCGAACATATGTTTATTTCTATTATGAGGTACATCAGCAATCCGTACCTACAAATTTTAGGGAGAACAAACGTACGATCCTTAGGTCTCGCAGTAAGCTTATAGTTATTGAACCACTGAGTTGGTATCCGATGTTACACATTTAAATAAATATGTCGTTAAGAGATAACTCACTGATTGTCTACATGGGAGACAAACTTGTATGACAACAGAGTTGGAGAAAGAAAATTTTACTACTGGACATGTAAGATGGCTTGATTTTATTATTGGTGTTCAACAAGCGCTTAATTAAGCTCATTTTAATTTTAACGTTTAAAGTTGTTATATCTTGCGACCGCCGATTAGAGAGAAGTGACTTATCGATCGGATCAATGACGTGTAAAATCGTATGAGCAGCCTAGAGTCTTGTTTGGTCCTGCTTTCTGCCTAGCCCAGCCAGTTAGGTCCAGAACTCCAATCTCAGCCTCTGTAATATGAGTCGTGTATTTCAAACATACTCTGTTTATATACCAATCAAGTAGACCAAATCGTACTATAAAATAGAAAATAACATTTGTACAAAATATGGCCAAATGTGGCTGTGAATGTCGAAGGTTGTGATTAATGGTCAGGGAATAATTCAAGAACAGAAAATCGTATAATAATAGTTTATGGGTCAAAATAAAGCTTATGATAAGAGAGACACGAATATGAATAGTTTATTTAATTAACAATTATACGACAAAAATATACGTTTAGTATTGGTCCATTAAAGGATCCCAAAGTTACCATTCATTATGTTTATCGGGACCTAACAAAAGTTAATTTATCTGATTAATCAAATTAGTTTGAATAACTCTGGCGTCAGTGCTTAACAAATACTCGTAAGAACAAATAGTTCATTTTCTATGGTAAAATATTTTACATAACCGCTGATTTCGAACAGAATATCACTCCAAAATCTTAAAAATTATAATGTATACAAGAATAAAATTCACTTACAATGGCTCCCGGAGGACCATCATTTCCTGGCGGTCCTGGTTCACCAGGTGGACCTTGAATACCTGGTGGTCCCTGTGAAAATTTCAATAACATTACAATAAGACTAAACGACGTAAATATCCCCAAATAAATAACGGTGAGAACATACAAAAACAAAACATCATACATACTTTCGCAACTTCCATTAGCCTAAAAGTAACGATAAACATTTCATCCTCCGATGACAAGTTAAATATCGTCACAGCAAATTGTGTGAGAATTACCCTTCACAATTTATTTACTTTTTAAGGTAACACAGCCTTGTGAGTGTATTTGAAAAGTTGTAATCACCAGGTAATTACATTTCAGTTAATGTCGATCGCTTATGCTAAGAGTCGAACAGATTGTCTTAGGTGACTAACATAGTAGTTACATATTTCATTGATCAAGTTGTTTACTTTTATATAATAAATATATTAGTCAATCTACTATTATCACTTACCATTGGTCCTGGTTGCCCAATTGGTCCTGGAACTCCTGGAAGACCCGTTTCACCTTTTAGGCCAACTTCACCCTAGGTAAGTAACATCAAAAGTTATTTATCAGTATATATAACAGTATGATTGACTAAAAAATCAAGTATCTAGTCATCAGGGATACTAGGAATTCATTTAATGAACGAAATGATTAGATATATCATAATTAAATACACAGCTAAACACATAGAAAGCGTACGTGATTTGACAATTTTTGATTGAAGATTTGGTTAAAAAAAACATTATTTGCCTGTTGAGCTCTTCAATCGCAATTTTTACAAAGGTGATATTTTAAGTGCACAAAGTTAGGTTTCCTCCTATTGAGTAGTAGTTTTGGTTACGTTAAGTATTAATGAGAAAAAACATATACTTGAAATATCTAAAAATATGGCTGTGTGGTACAACTGTACACAGATTATTCTCTTATTTAGTTCTAAAAATAATATTGTAATAGATGAATAATGTTTGATTTCAGTTTGATGAATAGTGCTGTTCGATATAGTTGGCTAGGAGATAACCTACATTAATCAATCTGTCAGATAACATCTTGCGAATTATATAATAGTAGGCCGTAAATCACTAATTATCACGAGTAGATACCCTCTGATTAAAAGTTGTATGGAGTAGCCATAAGCAATCGATTGATGAATGAAACAGTAAATTACAGATAATACTAGTAAATGATTGTGTTATATGAGTAAAAGAATGATAAAAAATTCGAATCATTGGATTTAAACTTGACGGCTCAAAAGGATCATGCTCTAAACAGACTCTAAAGCGTTAAATTTCGTCATATATACAATTGTAGATGCTCACTATAGGGACAGTTCTGATATGCGAAGAAATAGTTACTGAGTAGTATCAATGATATGCTCGTCTAAACTTTAGTGGTGATCGAAATCTATCAATCTTGATTGAGATCATGAACCGAGTGGTGTTAGATCACCTTTGGAAACCTGGAAGCGTTGGACGGCCGTTTAGTTCTATTGTGCGACTCCTTAGCAGTGCGAGTCCAAGATCTCAATCAAAAACTTAATAATCTCCACAACCCCTATACTAGTTCTATCAATCTGTTTAAAGCTTACTAGTTTTTATAATTATCAAATGCTATGAGAAATACCTATAAAAGTTACTAAACTTTCATAAATCTATTTAAATAAAATTAGATTTGGCCAATTTAAAATAAACGTATCAAAATTAGTGTTTGGATTATCATTTCGTTACTGATACCATGGTTGAAGTTGAATGAAAGCATGTATCTTAATAGAATTTATACTATCAAAGTTGTTCAAATTGATAGCACAGTGTATTTTGCTAGATTAAATTACAAGAATGAATTGTTGGTTAAGTTTCAAATTTATTTCAGATACTTGGAATAGTAAAGTATTCAATTGCCACGTTAGTTGGACAGCCAAATGTTGAAATCTGGTTAAATAACTAGGTCTTGAAGTTGAGCTACTGAAGAATTACATCTTTAATTTAGAAGTGACCTTCTAAAACCTTTTTTCAAATCTGATAATTCCTTCTAGTTATTCAGTCAACGGGGAAAGTGATCTGGTCTTTAATGTAAATTTGCGGAAATTTTCATCCTAATATTCAGGAGACAGCTTTGTCAAAGCAATTTCCAACTCAGAATAAATTGGTTTTGTGTAATCATTTATTTGACTATCGTGTCGTATCCACTCAACATAATTTAAAAAGAGGCTAAAATACATTTGTTTTCTTAGTAAACAAGTAAATAAGAGGAATGTGACCACAATTTTTAAATGTCGTACAATAACTTACCATTGGTCCTTGTGGTCCTCTTGAACCTGGACTTCCTGGCAATCCAGGAGGTCCACCATCACCAGGTGGTCCAGTAAGACCCATGTTTCCGGATGCACCTCTTGAGCCAGGTTCTCCTTCGTCTCCCACAGGTCCTTTGCTTCCAGGAACTCCAGGTGCTCCTATTTCACCCGGAGGACCTCGTTTCCCTTCAAATCCATCCGGACCTGGTTTTCCAGGTCTTCCTTGACTTCCTTGTTTACCTGGTGGCCCAGGTTGTCCAATTAGTCCAGGCGGTCCTCTGATTCCAGTTGGACCAGTTGGTCCTCTGCTTCCTGGAGGACCCTTAACACCTGAAGCCCCGGGTGGGCCCTGCATTCCTGCATTCCCGTCTGGTCCTCGAGGTCCCTCTTCACCACGAGGACCTTGTTTTCCCATCTGACCGTCTTTTCCAGGAGGACCAGGTAAACCTGTTCTTCCAGGTAAACCAGCATTTCCTGGCGGACCCTGGAAATATCAAGCAAAGCTATCAGAATATCAAAGATACAGACTTTCACAATAAGTTTTAATCAATCACTTTTTTATTTTATATAAATAGAAATTACTGCTAAAATATTGAATCAATTTTATTTAACCAGATTAAAAGAATAAAACAATGCATATATTACCATTTCTCCAGGTTTCCCCACATTACCAGGTGGTCCCGTTGGTCCAATTTTTCCCGGTGCACCACTTGGTCCTTGATCACCATCTGGTCCAATTGGACCTACTGTACCCTATGGGAGAAAAGATTATCGAGATAAAAATAATATTCTAATATTTACTTTTTAAATAGTTTAATCATATTAGATTATAGAATAAAAGTCTATAAAAACAGATAAAATAATTTTTTGAAAAATTATTTCGTTCTTTTAGTGGATTAATGAAATAAGGGGGTATTTAGATACCATTCATTAAAATGGGTCTTAAAATATTTCGAAAAAATTATTATGTATTCACCGGCAACATAGTAGCTGAGCTTATTAGACAGATCTAGTTATTCCATGTAGGTGTAAGATAATCCGTTTCTTTTTTATATTCATCAATACAATTCATATACATAGTGAATCGATTAGAAAAATATGATTTAATTGATCCAGAGTTCTAATGAGATCATGAACCGATCAATGCAAAAGCACTATTGAAAACCTGGAAGCATCGAACGGCTGTTTAATCCCAGTATGGGACTTCTCAGAAGTGCACATCCATAACAGGACGAAATGGCCGTCCATTGTTTCTGTGTTTTCAATGGCGGTCTAACAGTGATCGGTTCATGATTTCAATAAAAACTCTAAAATCTGCACAACTCTATACCGATAATTCAGAGTAAACATTAATTACTGCTAGTTGTTCAGTTTATGAAAAGTGATGAGATTAATTTATAAAATAAAAAATACAGTAGTCGTTGAAATTGTTGTCTGTAGTGTAAACCTAAATAACTTGAAGCTGAACTCTTTTCAATCTTCTTCGATGTTGGCTCCTGGATAGCAAAACTGCCTCTTACACACCATCTATGCAAAGCTTTACTTGATAGATCATGAACAGATCAATGTTAGAATACAACTCAAAACCTGGAAGCACTGGATGACCATTTCTCTCTGGTACGGGACTCCTTAGCAGTGAGCATTCACGACCCTGCGTGTGGGAGTCGAACACAGGATCTTCGGTTTCACGCGCAATTGAAGGTAGATACTAACGACATTAGATCCAAGCCCAGTAGTCTAGAGGCTAAGCGTTCGAGCGCAAGATCGTAGGCCCAGGATTCGATTCCCACCTGCAATGCAGTGAGCGTGCACTTCTGAGGAGTGTAGTGTCTATTACTGAGTCAAACCCATATAGGTTACTCTAGCTTCCGGACGGACTAGTTTATTCATTCTTCTTGAATCGGATTTTGAACTTGTTAATTATTCACTTAGTAACCTTGACTTTTCTATATAAGCGTATGTTTCTGTATCGCTTACCCTGTTCATCACATGTATTTGGCTTATTTTTACCTGATTATAAATGTTGAGTCATGCTTTGTCCAATCGAGTTGGCTTACTCGCGTTCTCTGCTCCTTTTCGCTTCGTTTTGCCGCTTCTTATTTGAAATGTCTGTCATGATAAACGAATGCATGAAATAAATCCCTACAATGGAACCCGTATTTGCTATTTATTACTGCCGTCACACAAATGGGGTTAGCCTAGATAATATTCAGCGTTAAATGGAAGATTTATATTCATAGCATCTTCATATGATCAAACTAGAGTCAGATACTGGACCACAAAAAGAGTTGTGTACTGGGACGAAATAGCTATCTAGTGATTCCAACTTTATAAAATTGATCTAACATCGATCTGTTCATGATTTCAACTAATTCAGTATGATTTATATGTATATAGTTCGTTTAGTGACAATTTAGTGTGAATTTCGTTCAGTACAACGTACAGCATAAGTTTTGCATGAATTCTGCATAAAATTCATTTCTAACATTTCATCTTATTTTATTTATTTGACCAACTATTAAATTTCAATACATTCGTCATACAAATCAGTGTATTGTAGTTAAGTGGTTGTCATATTTTTGGAGGGTTAATTAAAATATTCATTAGCTATGAATTTTCACTTTCTTCTTTGTATCATGCAGATTTCAATGCTTTTTTTTATTACAAGCGCAAGTTTTCGTCGTTATGATATTTTACTTCATTGGTTAATGGAATATTAGGTTTAATTAAGTTGTCAGTTATTCACACTTATCCAAATGATACAGATTAAATCTACATTTACTCTTTTAGTGTTTTAGTTTTCTGAAAAAGAACATTACTATGGTAAAATATACTTACTTACTTACACCTGTTACTCCTCGTGAAGGAGCATAGGTCGCTCACCAGCATTCTCCATCCAACCCTGTCCTGGGCAACCCTTTCCAGCTCCTTCCAGTTGTAATTCATCCTTTTCAAATCTGCTTCTATTATCCGACGTAATGTGTTCTTTGGCCTTCCTCTTTTCCGCTTCCCTTCAGGATTCCAAGTTAGAGCTTGCCTCGTGATGCAGTTTGACGGTTTGCGTAATGTATGTCCTATCCATTTCCATCGTCTTTTCCTAATTTCTTCTTCAGTTGGAAGTTGGTTTGTTCTCTCCCACAGAAGGCTGTTGCTGATGGTATCCGGCCAATGGATGTTGAGTATCATGCGAAGACAGCTATTTATAAATACTTGTACCTTCTTGATGGTGGTTGTTGTAGTTCTCCAAGTTTCAGCTCCATACAGTAGAACTGCCTTGACGTTCGTATTGAAGATTCTCACTTTGATATTGGTTGAAAGTTGTTTTGAGTTCCATATGTTCTTCAATTGTAGGAATGCGACCCTTGCTTTGCCGATCCTCGCCTTTACGTCTGCATCTGAGCCTCCTTGTCTATCGACGATGCTTCCCAGATATGTGAAGGATTCTACATCTTCCAGAGTTTCGCCATCAAGGGTGATGGTAAAATATAAGTAATATCTAAAAGTAGTCTGGATTAGCCATTTCAACAAAAACGACTGTACTTATGGTGTGTATGATCAAAATAATTACAACACCGAAAAATAACCAGTAAAGATATACTCTTATGAAGTGAAAAGTTCACAATAGATGGGAATGTTCTAAGATAAAACTTATTTGAAAATAATACATTTAAATACTGTGTAACTGTGGCGTATAAGTAATATAATATGCCAGTTGATATATATATATTGTAACTAATTAGGGTTCACTCAAAATAGCAGTGTAATCTTACCGGTAATCCAGGGTCTCCTCGTTCCCCTTTATCACCTGCAGGACCCGGAAGTCCAGCCATTCCGTCTGAACCCGCGGGTCCTTCGAGTCCTGGGTCCCCAGCCTCACCTTTAGGCCCAGTTTGTCCAGCAGGTCCTGGGGGGCCTGGTCGACCATTTTCTCCTGGTGGTCCTTGGGGTCCAGGTTCTCCAATTAAACCTTCCGACCCCTGATCTCCTTGTACACCTGGTTGGCCTCTATCACCCTGCTGACCTGGTAATCCAGGGTGACCTTTAGGCCCAGGTGGTCCTTGAACTCCTTTTATTCCCATGTTACCAGCCTCACCACGAGGTCCACGTGGACCCATTTCCCCTTTAACTCCTTTCATTCCGACAGAACCAGGTGGGCCGGGTGGCCCTGGTATACCTGAATCACCCGGAATACCTTGTGGTCCCTGGTCCCCAGGTGTCCCTTTGTCGCCCTGATAACCACGAATTCCTAATATCCCTTTGTTACCAGTTCGTCCTTGCGGTCCAGGGTGCCCCATAGGGCCGTCGGACCCTCTCTGTCCTGGAGCTCCCACTGGGCCCGGTTCCCCTCGTGGCCCAGTGGGTCCTCTATCGCCCTTTTCACCCCTCTCACCACGAATTCCAGTATTGCCAACAAGGCCGGGCACACCAACCGTCCCACTGTCTCCCATGTCACCTTTTTCACCCCTGTCGCCCTTGAGCCCATCACGTCCAACTGGACCTGAAGCTCCTTTGTCCCCAGCCCTTCCAGGTGGGCCCGGTGGGCCCATTTGTCCTGGGGCTCCACGTTCTCCCTAAAAGTTACAAAAAAATCATTTTGCACTACAAAACAGTTTTATGAGTTTATAAATAAACAGGACATGCAACAGTCGTTTTTAGCTAGCTGTTGCTACTGCCTAATTCTGAGTTTTCCTAACTATCTTCCTGTTTTGTTTGCTGCTGTTAGAAACTTAAACAATAAGGAGAAATGCGATACTTTTATATATATGCACGAACCAATGAGATTTGGGATAACATGTCTTGGATTTTGGCGCGAAATTCATTCATCCATTTGTCTGAATAGCGTTTCGGCATTTTAGTTTATATCAGTTCGTGATGGAAACCATAGGTCTAATTCCCAACCCTTACCATCAATTGTAAATCGTAATTCTTATTCTTAATACTGTTTTATAGCCCTCATTTAGCCCTAGTAACTAGACGGACATTTTCAGGGTCACTTTAGCGTTGCTCAAGGTCGTTCATAAATTATAATCTCACCGGACGAAAATGCTTATTTCATTACAAAGGTTTTGCATGTACATAGCTCAGATCAGTAGAACACTTACCTAACTGATTATTGGAGACAATAACAATCCAAAAGAAAAGTGAGCTCATAAAATTATTACATAAGTACTAATAGTTCTGATATTATTATTTCCGTTAACCTTTGACATGTCATATCTCTTACCATGTTAGTGAATATTATTATCAAACATACATTGATACTTGTAAATAATCGTGCTTAGTTCTTTGACAAAATGCAAATGAATAAATGAATAAGCCTTGTATTGACTATTCATAGATTTTTTCTCAAGAGATAGCTGCTATAATTATTTGTACTAATTCAAATCCGGCTTTCGTATTTTTATTCTGTGAAGAATTATAAATTAGAAGAGATCAAAGGAAACTTTCAACTATAAACCTCTTGATTTTACCCTTGCCCATATAAGCGTGGTTTACCCTAATTATTTATGCTAGAATTTGATTTAGTATGCAGATTTATTTTATGAATAAGTCGAAGTGAATAACTAACCAAGGTTTATGGTTGTGTGATAATCTCTTTAATCACTTGACATTAAGAGTAGTACCATCTGACTCCAAAACATTTAACATAATGGATATTTCTTATTTGAAGTTTTTGTGATAAAGTATTGTCTGCGTAAAGGTTTAAAAAGAATGACACTGATTATTATGTCATCGCTATTGAGTATATAATCCATATACCATATGAAAATGTAAGATGGCAGTTGAAAGCAGTTGACAGGAAAACTTAGACCTAGATTTTGTGCTATCTGTCATTCGTTAGCAAGGTTTAAGTTTAATCTTGGGTGAAACGATGCTTTTTAGTAGAATAAACTTCATATCTCTTTGCTTCACGGTCAAATACGCTACCATTGAGCTAACCAAGTCATGACTGACCTTCTTTAGGACTGAGATGTATTCAAAGTCGATTGGTTGTGTAAACGGAACTATTAATAGATTTACTTGATAACATATAAGTTTCAATGCAACAATTATGGTTTCATGAAAATCTAGACTAAAATCTGTGTAATGAATTTTTTTAATATAGAAATAAACTATTGTTACATATTAGAGTATTTTAACAGTTAAAATCACATTCCCTAACAACTGGTAAGAAAACTAATTGTAATAATATTATACAGTGTGCAAACAAAGTATTCACACTCACATAGACGAGTTTTTTCGTAAATAAACATTTACATGATTTTTTTCCAGATCTTAAAAAACAGACATAGTGAGTGCACAATTTCTCAATATCTAACTCAAAATGTAACCATTGATCAAGATAGCCATTAGATATTTCTACTTAACTGTATTTGATACCAAACTGTGAGTAATATATGCAAACAACTTCATCATTACGGAAAACAAACAGATGTCACCTACTGGAGGTCCTGGTGGACCGATATGCCCAGGTTCCCCAGCTGGCCCAGGATCACCCGGTTTCCCAGGTGTCCCTGGTGGACCTTCGGGACCAACTCTACCTTCTGCTCCCATAGGACCACGTTTGCCAGATTGTCCACGTTGGCCTTTCTCACCTGACGGTCCAAATGGACCCGGAGGTCCGGGTTCCCCTCGTGGACCTCTGTCACCCCTGGGACCTCTTGATCCAACTGCTCCAGGGTCACCGGTCTTCCCGACTGAACCAGGTAAACCACGTAACCCTTGTCCTCCTTGAGGGCCGTGCGGACCAGGAATTCCTGCTGCACCAGGCATGCCAGGTCGACCAATAGATCCAAGTGGACCCTAGTGTGATAATGAGGAAATAAAAATATGAGGTCAGAAAAATAATCCCATGTAGTAAAAATATTGAATTAGGATAAGAGGATTATTTGGCTCACATCGTTATTGAAGGACATTAAAGATTCGAATGTTGAAATGTTTAACCGATACTATTATCATTACTTTGAATTCTAATCCCGACAGATTTTTCTTTAATGCTTAGTTCCATATTGTAAAGTAAAATAGTTGAGCGTGCAAATCACTTCATTCGTTTTTAGCCTCGTCAGCATTAGACGATTGTTACCAGTATCTGTACAGAGCAGTCACTTGAATCTTAATACCTTGATTAACCAGTGGCTTGGGCGAGGTCTCCGTTTTGATGATAAAGAACAGAACATCAGCTTGGTCTATCTATCTTCATAGCTAGGAGACGTGATATTTTGAGGTTAGAGACATGAGTTGGTTGATAGTATCTGATCATAAGCCCTTTCTAAGTGATGATGTATACTCTAGAACCCTCATTTGAGTAAAGTTGCGATCAGTCATATGATACTTGAAGGCGATAGTGAGTCATTTGATAAGGTATTAAACCTCTCCCCACTGAGCTGTTTGAAAAATGTATTACACATATTTAGCTAGAGTCTACCCCAATGAGCTATGTTAGCTAGTACAAAAATAAATTTCGAGAAAAGTGACAGTCAGATGAAAATTTTATCAAGATCATGAATCGATTGATGTTAGATCACCACTGAAGACCTGGAAGCACTGGATGGCCGTTTCTTCCTATTGTAGGACTCTTCAGTAGTGTGCATTCACGATCCCGCTCGCGGAATTCGAACACAAGGCCTTAATATTTTACAATAGATTATGTCACTATTAATACGACTTTAGAGTTTGATGAAATGGGATCATCACAAAGGAAATTGTATATAATTCTTCTTTAATGACGAAATCAGTTACTTATGTTATTATACTTTGTTTCTATATCTACAATTGTTATATTGAATAAGTTTAGAAAGCTTAATCTTTTGAGCTTGATATAATCACTACAATTTCGAATTTTGTTTATAGACCTCCTTTAATTGGATAATAATACACATGATCCTTCATAATTATATTTAAATATATAATATTCCCAATGAAAACTAAGATTTTGTACAGTGTTGTAGTATTAACGACTTTACAAATGCGCTTACTGGTTATTGAATTTATTTATTTATTTATTTACTAAAAACAAGAAACATAATAATTTTTTCAACTCGAAAACTAACCTTAGGACCAGGTTCACCAGTTGGTCCTGGTTGTCCACGATTCCCAACTGAACCCTGAATGAAATGAATATCACATTAACATGTGTTAAACAATTGAATATTATACTTATAGATAATTTATAAACTTATATTAAGTTATTGTTTTTTTTTTGTATTTTATACTAATGCAGTCAGTATTAGCATTTAGTTATGATTCCGAGATTCATTACTTAGATATGATACAACCTAATGTGCTGGTTTTTAGTTCAACTATTAGACCTCCTTCAAATTTCAATTGACTAAATTAAGGAAATTTGGACCATTCTGTTTTTAATTGATACTTTAGAGACATAGTTTGTACTACGAAACCTGAAAGTTCAATGTTCAGTTCCATATGACTTAAAAGATGTTGAAAGGTCTGATATTCAGACTCCATAGCTGTACAACACTTTAGTTTTTGATTGCTCTCCACATTGCATTAGTCCATGATTAAAATCAACGTTAAGTAATGGAGTATCATCGAGTGAGTGACGATTATTAAACCTTCTACATTTGGTATGCTCGCCATTCGGATGTACTAGCATCAATGTTGATGTTCAAACTGAGGGCCGAACTCTGTATTTTTCAATTCAAATTTAGCGCTTTATCCACTGGATTCGAATAGCCAATAGCTTGCTCAATGGATATAAAGGTCAGTCAGTAACAACGTAGAACTTCGTACTTACGTACATCAGTTCGAGTTGCCATACCACATTAGCACAGAGATGCAGAGATGCAGATATAAAGATATCAGTAAGAATTTGCAATTTCCAAATATCGATATTCTGGACTGAAATTTATACGCGTACCCTAAAAAGATTACTTCGACACATTGTTATATCACATTAAATATACTAAAAATTGATATATGTGAGTTATTTTTAAAGTATGATTTATAGGACTATTTCATATTTTTTAATTGAAATCATGAACCGATTGATGGTAGACTACTATTGAAAACCTAGCAACACTGGACGGCCGTTTCGTCCTATTGTAGGACTCCTCAGCAGCGTGCACCCACGATCCCGCTCCCGGGTTTTAATGGTGGTCTAACATCAATCGGTTCATGATCCCAATCAAAAACTTTATGATCTTCACAATCTTATACTAATCATATATTTTAATCGTTAAACTATTTTTCGATTGTCAGATTAACTCTTGAGAATATTTTTTAATGATGACACTTGTCATAAAATGGTTAAACCTTAAGTATTCTCTTGAATTTTCATTAAAATACAGAAAATTATGCAATAATCAAAGTGAAACTCCTTCACACTACAGACATATCAACAATGATGCATAAATAATTAATTATTTGAAGTAGTCCAATAGTGTCGTATTGTGATTACTTTCTACCTTAGTCCCATGAATTTGTATTAATCAACCCATTTTCTGTGTTCTAGTACACAATTAATCAAATCACTGAGGATTATTAATGATTCAATGAAAAATATTGGAAAAAGGACACTACTACTGTAGCTACTTGTTCAAATAACATCTAAACTTTTCGATATTTATAAAATTCTATTATTTCTAATGTGATAGAGATTTACTTTAACCGAATATTGAAAAGTGGAATATCATTAACTTACTCTAGGACCGGTAGGACCTTTGAGACCACTTGGGCCAATGTCTCCTTGAGCTCCCTTCTCACCAACAGGACCAGTTATACCAGGTGCTCCACCTGGACCAATAGCACCCGGTGGGCCCTCAGGACCCGGGGGACCACGAAGTCCTGGAAGACCACGACTGCCTTCGTGCCCAGGGGCTCCCGATAGCCCAGCGGAACCACGTATACCTCTACTACCTTGTTCACCTACTGGCCCCGGTGGGCCACGCTCACCGCGACGACCTTTAATACCTTCTGGTCCTGGCAAACCTTGCGCACCTTGCAACCCCACCGAGCCTTCTGGTCCTTTCGCACCCACAAGACCTATTTCTCCTTCTCCACCAGAAAATCCTCTGATTCCCATCATCCCAGGTTTTCCGGGGTGTCCTCGATCTCCTGGCTCTCCTTTATTACCGATTGCTCCTGGAGGTCCATGTGCACCCTGTTTTCCAGGATTTCCAGGTGGTCCTGGCGCTCCTCTATCTCCACGTAATCCAGGGAAACCGACCTCTCCTTTAGGGCCAGGAAGACCAGGTTGACCTTTAGGTCCTTCTGGGCCTTGCAACCCAGGACTTCCTTGGGGGCCAGGTGCTCCAGGATCACCTGGTGCTCCCGGAACACCATCTGTCCCATCAACTCCCTAAAGTTAAAAATAAGCAACAATAAAATGATGTTAATATGTGGTAACAAATATATGAAATTACTTGTTAACCATGAACTTGAAATCCCTTATATATAAGTATATCAAACTATTTAAGTCATCCGTGGTTTGCAACATAAAATTTAGACATTTACATGAACACTTAGATACTGCCCTTTTATTTCTGTAGTCAGAATTCAAGCCTGATTTTAACTAATTATAACTCTTTATATGTATAGCGACTTCTAGCTTTGTGGCTTTCCAGATGTTTTTATATCCCATATCCAGTTTCTATCCATATTATTTTACATTATTTTATTTATAAATAACTTCTTGGTTTCACTGAAAATTCACAAAACACTTATACCATACCATTTTTCCTTCAATAATATCCCAGTTTTAAGACCTATTCCCCCTTGAATCTGTTGTAATCAATAATTTCAAATTGCATTAGTCGGTGGTCGTGTGGTGGATGCTACTTATACTGACAGATATAAGTAGTACACAGTGAAAATCAGAAGTGAAATGTCTGGCAGCAGAAGAGTGAAATGAAGAGAACAGGAAGGAAATCGGAGAGCAAACGAAATAACGATACAATTAAGGAGATAATGGAGTATGAAAAGGACAACTTAAAGAAGATGCGCAAATGATTTATTTAATGTATGATTTCATGTTTTACTAAGCCACTGTGTGATTTTTCCATCAGACATAAATTGGTTTTCACCAGTTAGTCGTCTTTCATTACAGTCACACTGTACGTGAAAAGAATCGATCTATATGTATGATATAAAGCACTTATTTAATAAATTAATCTTTTTAGTGGGGAACACCATACTGAACTAAATACACGAAGTTTGAAAATGGTTTAAAATATACATAAGTTAGTCATTGGTTGAAATATTTTGTGGATATAATACTTAGACTAGTTGCTCATGGTATACTAGAGAAAATTTACTGTCTTCCAAAACTGTTCACTGAAAGTCTGATCTCATACCAACATAAATACACTACTAGAATTGTTATAAACGATAAAGATATAAACTTCATAATCATAAAAGAATTAACTGATAAAAAGAGAGACATACTATAGGTCCTGGCAGTCCCATGAATCCTCTGGGGCCCGGTTCACCTCGTTGACCCTGAAGACCGATCGAACCTTTCGGTCCTACAGGTCCTGGTAGTCCTTTCGGCCCATAATCACCAGCCATTCCTTTGATACCTTCTTCTCCACGTTCTCCTCGTTCACCTCGCAGACCCATTGCTCCAGGAAGTCCAGCTTCTCCCATGACTCCAGGTATGCCACGTGGTCCTCGAGCACCTTTTAACCCTGGTCTCCCTATCGGTCCAGCTTTTCCATCATTTCCAACAGGCCCAGCATGTCCTCGCGATCCAGGGTTTCCCGATGGACCGGGATCTCCCATCAGCCCAGGTTGTCCGATCGGTCCAGGTGAGCCTATGACTCCTGGGAATCCGGGTGCACCTGGTTCACCAGGTGGTCCCTAATGAGATAAACAGTAGTTTTATTAACTGATTTGAGCTTATGAGATGCAAAATAAAAGCTAAAAAGCAAATTTTTAGGACTAATAAATAATCTCAGGTAAAGATTACTTGTTCCGACTAAATGCATGAAAAAAATCAGTATTTCATGAGACAAGGATTGAAAGTCCTAAAAATATCATTGTATTAAAGAAGCCATAACCCTGTAAAACCAAATTAAATAAACAGTAAAATACTCTTTTTAAAACAAATGGTTCAACGAAATTGTTATGCATATGGAAAAAACTCGTTAAACGTTTGTTACGCCTTTAGATTAGTGAATAACTAACAACTGCACAGAAATTTCAATGATTAAAGCTACATACTTTTAATATACCCACTTCTGGTCAACTTTAGCACATGTAACCTAAGATTAAAATATAATTTAATACAATATTATAGCAGTTGCCAAGTAACCTAACTATTTCAACAGTCCATCAGACTAATAACTTTACTGTTGTTGTATGTGTTTATGAAGATTTATAAAGTTAAAATTTTTAGCATTGTAACTGTTAGTTAGTTAGGAAATATAAACTTTAAAGAGTTTCGTCTTAAAAATGCTTCTTCAACAGGTTGTAGAATAAGCAAAGATTGATGGTAAAACAAATCAAGTTACCATTAAATATTAGCAAATCTGAACAAAACTAATATGACTCGATGCAAGAAAAAGGTAAAGAGAATGCATGAGGATTTTTAGTACGTCAAAAATTAATCAGTATATCTGAATACACTGATTTTTATATCAATTTACGATTGACTAACCATCAGTGTAAGTTGAATAAATTCACTTGAGTAGAACTTGCTATTGATCAAACACTAGCTTACTGAATGAACAGTATTACAAGATGGAATTGCTACAGTTAATAATATCGTGGATGCGCACTGATGAGGAGTCATACAATAAGACGAAAATGCCGTCCAGTGCTTCCTGGTTTTCCATGATAGTCAAGCTTCAATTGACTCATGATCTCAACTATTAAAAATTACTATAATATCCACAAAAAACCCTTTTGATATAACTGATTTGTTGAATTATCTACTTGCTACTTCCTAAGAGCTTTTCTCTTTCTTGAACAGATAAGTGTAGAAGAGTGTTGTTCATCCTAAAATTATTGACTTCAAGACATATTTATTCACTTACAGAATTTTCAATGAAACATATTATTCGATATAACTAAGATACAAGTGTTTATTAGCAGTTGTCTACACAAAATACTTCGGATACGTTGGCCGGACACTATCAACAAAAATCTACTATGAGAGAGAACAGATCAGGTTCCAGCAGAGGAAGAAATCATGAAGAAGCGCTGGAAGTGGATAGGACACACATTGAGAAAGGGACACAACTGCATCACAAAGCAAGCCCTCACTTAGGATCCTTAAGGCCAAAGGGGAAGTGGAAAACCAAAGAACACATTACGCCGAGAAATGGAGACAGATATGAGAAGAATGAACAACAATTTGATAGAACTAGAAAGGAAAACTGAGGACAGAGTGTGTTGGAGAATGTTAGTCGGTGGTCTATGCTCCATCGGGAGTAACAGGTGTAAGTAAGTGAGTAAGTAAGTATATATATTACAACTCACCATTGTTACCCGGATATCTTGATACATGGTTACATTTTCACCAACTGGACCTTTTACCATTGCTCTAGAACGTTGCATGTAGTCATCGACATCTTGAGGGGGCTAAAATTAGTTAATTATTGGGAAAAAAATTAAAATTACATAGATCATCTAAATGATGAAAAGATTTGATAAACACAATAGTGGGTCATAACTATTCATTATTTATTGGTAAAAACACTTCACAAACGGTTTATTATGACATTGGTCTTTTTGTAAAGTATTTAACAAACTTTGTTATCGTTATCCCAAAATAGTAATTTGATACTCACATTTTTAGTAGATGAAACAACTAACATTCTACAGTAATATAAGTCACACTGTCTTAAATCATAACATCTTATAGTATTGGTTATTGAACTTGTTCTTTAAAACTTACGTTGTCTACAGTATAAATCTGTCTATGGAATAATAAAAATACAAGATTTTCATAGAGCTAGAAAAAGAATACATAACTATCACAGACGTCACTAACAAGAATCCAGAACTGTAGAGTCCTGAATTATCTACTGTTCTAGTTGAAAGTATTACCATTACCCTATTATACACGTTCAATGTTAGTCGATGTCCGTTAACTTCTTGATAGAAAACATGATATACTATAAGTTTACATTACTTAAATTAGAAATTACATTGTAAATCGATTGATAGATTATGGTTAGACCTAAGAACTAGATAAAATTGACATTAATATTAAACGATTGATTATTGTATGATCCTAAATTCTAAAAAAAATGTTGAGATAGTGGAGAAGATTTGTAGCTCGAGTGGACAATTTTGATGGAGTTTTGTTCTCTGAGCTGGATGGTTACGACTAAACCATCTAGCTCAGGAAACAAAACTCTATCAAAAAAATGTTATATAGTCAAAGTCATGTTTTTAAATTTGGCGCTCTAATCAAATGTAATTTGTTTCGGCTTTCCATCAACTGATTAGTCTATCTGTTGAATTTCTTACTTAGTTTATAGTCATTATTGTTTCAAGTTATAGAGCACTTATATCTAGTTACTTAGGGTATTATTTTAAAAAAAAGTGAAAAATTATTGATTACTATCAACAAGACGAAGTCAATCGAGTTTAATATTTTCAACAACAACAAACAAACAAACACACAAAATATTTGACCAACTTTTGGTTATTTACAAAAGTTAGCTAATTTAGTGTATAATTTGAAACTTTATAACAATGAGATAATTCACATGGTATTGTTTACTTGAATCTCTTAGCCTTAATGTTTAAGACTGCAAGTGATCAGTCTATTATTGACTTGGCTAGCAATGGAATTCGGGATACGTGTGTCGTCCTATTTAGGACTTCTCAGTTGGATGTATCTATATCTCAGAGGACTCAATAGCTAAGTGGATAACGCTATGTTGTTTGAAGCGAATGGTACTGGGTTCGACTATCGGGGTGAACATTAACTCTGAGATGCAGGATTATCCAACTGACGAGTCCTAAATGAGACGAAACACACATCCTGGATTTCACTGCTAGTCACTATCCATCTTTGCTTATGATGAGATAATTATTTTTACCTAGGTTTCCTTTGCACTTGTCTATATTATTTTGATAATATTGTAGTGTATGCTACTTATATCTGTCGACATAATTAGTATGTTATACCAATCAGAAGTGGAAAACCTGGCAACAGAAGGCTAAGAATATCGAATTGAATAGAAGTGAAAATAGAAAGGAATTTTGAACTAGAAGAATCATACAGAACGTAAAGGACAAATGATGGAAATATGCAAATTAAATATTCATACTTTACTAAAAGATTCTATAGTTTAATCTTATTCATTATAGTATGGTTTAAGTGTGTGAAGCCAACATCTGTAATTGGCAGAAAATGAAAATGATTGATTGTTTTGAGACATAATTCTTTTACATAGCAATCTAAAGCAAAATTAGAATTTGTTCAGATATCCTCTAAAGGTGTTTCTATATTTGTATCTTCAATCCCTTTATAAATTAGACTATCGTCTAGCTCTAGTCATTAAACTAACATAGATATCTAAAACTCCAACTAAGTGTAATCTAAACAGTGTAAGCTTAGGGTTGAAAGTTAATCTTAGGGTAAAATTTCATTTTATACATCATATTCACCAAAGATTCAAACGTAATTGTCTGATTCTCCTGTGAAGTAGGATTGAGCTGTACTGATCATGCTATAAAATTTAAGCCTGAGCGATATCTGGCTCTCCTGTTAAACGAGATTGAACTGTACTATTTGAGTTATCATGTAAAAGTCTAAATGGTATCTGGTTCTTATGAAAATCAATGTAAAATTACCCTTGTTCACAATGGTAATATTTATATGACTAATTGTAATTGAGTGTTCATTAAATATTCTATTTTAACAGATAGAAACAATATTTTCATGTATTATGTAACTAGTCAATTATCAGCTTTAAATGACTTATAATGTTACATATTTAAGTTACCTTATATGTTATGGTTAATAAATGTATATAAAGAGATGTAACAAAATCATCGATGAATATGTCTCTTGATCTAGTTCAATCAACTATAAACCATAAATTCATGTTTGTGTAATTTATTGTCTTTTCTAGATAAATCAAAATGAATTCTAAATTTACAATTTGCAAAACTTAGTTCCAATATGAATTAATGATATTTAGAAGGTAGAGAATTGATTTTCAATGATCTTATTGATCATGAGTTTATTCCCACCCCTTCTCTACTATGTACCTGAAAGTTTGTACACTTTGGTCAAAAGAATGTTTTCTGTAACTGTTTACCAAAAAATTAAATAACAGTTCATAAGCTGGTATTCATCACAAATTGTAAACTGTACAAAAAAATCAAGTATTTGAAATAATGAAACTTACTGGACCTGGGAGACCAGGCATACCAGGCAATCCATTTTCACCATCGAAACCAGGATCTCCCGGTGGTCCAGGAGGTCCAGGCGGTCCAACAGGTCCTCTAAGTCCTGGAGACCCATCAGGTAATGGTGGCGGTGGAGGTGGTAGAGTTTGTGCTGGTTCGGCTGTTGGTCTTGGTGTTCTTGTTGACCTTGGTTCGTCAGTATATGTACGAGGTGTAGCTTGGGGTAGTACTGGTTCCTAATTGATCAGATAAAAATGTGGAATGTAATGTAGATTGTCTTAAAACTTACTAAGTTCACTATGAAAAACTGAGCGTTTCAAATTAAATCAAAGTAATGAACATTTAGTGAATATCTCTGCTTAATTTTACACTTATGATGCGTTTTTGTCAACTCAAGTAAAATATGAGAACATTTATGTGGACAGAACACCAGTGGGGAACAATCGAATGTATTTGACACAAGCTTACAGAACTTGGTAATAAAATCTAGCAATCAAGTAGTAAATACGTAATTTGCAAAACGTACATCAACTGTCTCAAAATGACTCAGACTTCATTGTTCTTGCATTTTCATACAAATTGCATTTTGTTTCCATTTTTTACTGTTTGATTCTCTTGTCTCACTGTTGCCAGATATTCTGTTCACGACTAACGTCCTATACTACTTATGTCTATATAATAGTAGCACACACTACACTATCTCTTATGTAACACTACAGTTAATACTAAAAACACTGTTTTGTCATTTCAGTTAATCAAACTGTTAGCAAATATATGGTGATTCGATTTGATGATTAAGTTACGATTGTCTGGTATGCTGATATACTTGAAATGGACTACAAATTTTAAAAGTCTAGATTGATCAAGTGAAAAGAACGTGTAGTTTATAATACCACTTGGTCAATTTTGTATTGCAATTCAAAAATCTACCATAATTCAACAAGTATTCCATCTCAGGGAATAATAAATTAACACAAATGATACTCAAATCAATCGTAATCCAATGTTGTAATTAGCTTTACCTAATCTATATGAATCTCGATTGTTAATATTTTTGTCTATTGGTGGCAAGTACCCACACTTTGACTATTAGTTGGTGCAACCTAGTTGTGATGTATATGTTTTTGTGTAATTAAATTTGAATCGGACATTTTTTTGTGTAAGCAAAAATGATACTGCTTTCCTATCCGAATCACAGAAGATTGATTGGTATTTTGAAACTAAAAATGATCAGAGCAAACTTAAACAGGTTAACCAACAAGTAACCATTCTGCCGTTATTCTAAATATAAATGAATACAAACATGGAGTCACTTATTGACAACAGTACAGAAGAGTATTCGCAAAATAAAACATCGGAATAGTCACCCTACGTACAGTGTAAATGTGGTTTCTCTTCTGTTTAATATGAAGAAAGTTAACTAATCTTACAGCTCTAATATAACCCTTTTTTGAAAACAGATCTTTTAGTACGTCTGTATTAATTTGGCTTATTCCTTTGATATTAAGTATACTGGTAATAAGTTTACCAAATCTGAATGTCCAACTGACACTTATATTGATGAAGCTTAATTATTTATATACATTCTATTGAGTAATGCATGTAAAGAAGATTTATGTGAATGCTGTGTTTTTTCATTCTCCATTACATTTATTAGACTACTCTCATTATGAATATCATTTATAGACATATTTTACATGTTTCAAATAGTTATGCAAAGCTTTTGTCGACAACTATTATGAAGCGATGAAAAAAAATCCAATGGTCAACATCTGTAATCTTATCTGATGTATGATATAAAAAAATCCCCATTCAATTTCACTATTGAGTTTGTGACGTGTGGTACTGATGTTGATAGATATAAGTAGTATGTATCACCAATTGAAAGTGAAATAACTCGCAGCAGAATCTTAAGAAGATCGAAGAAAAGAGAACGAGAACAGAAAATGATTGGAGTGGAAACAAAGGAACAGTCAAGCTTGAGACAATTGACTGATATTTTGCAAATGAAGTAGTTATTTTATGGTTCTCAGATTTTACTAAAACGTTCTATAATTTTGTTTCCAAATACATTCGATTGTTCCTAATTATGTTATCGTTCAGTACAAGTTAGTGTCTCATTCATTATCCCAATTAATTCAGACTTGTTTTCTTTTCTTAAAAGTGGTTTGAATAATTCTCTTCTCTTCATGGTTATTTCAATTGCTCTGTTTTACGAATAGAGCACATATTCTATCTTGTTTTTCACCATATATCAGCTAAATTATTTTGTTTTAAATATTAAATTTATTGTCTTGACTGTAATGGAGCAATAAACATATTTATCGCAATACATACAAGTATCTTAATGGAACACAGTCCGACTTAAAGTCAGAAGATTGATACTCGTCTTAATTAATAAAAGGATAACCTATTATTGCGATATTATGCCAATGAAAATGAGATCATTGTCAAAAATTATTAGTTTACTGAAATATTCATTCTCCTTTCATATAGTTTTTAGTGGATAATTATTGTTTACTGATAAACTATAAGTAGATAAAATGTAACACTAAAAGTTTTGCCACCATATTCTAGCTTCGTGACATTGAAAATTTCATATACTTTGATTATCTCAGTTTCATGAGATGAATTAATGGTTAAAAAAATCATTTAAGTCCAATATCCCGTTAAGTACATATGATTCCACTCTTCGAGCAGCTTGAATAAAGTTCCTGAACTAAGAAACTATCCATAAAAAATATAACATAAATAGCACTCATGAATGAACATAAATTGTCGGATGAATTCAATAGCACAGTAGTATACTGAATAATAATTTATTATATAGTTAAAATGTACTTACCACACGACTCTTTGCTTTAATTTTTTAGAAATGAAACAAAGAATGGTAAAAAATGGCGAATTAGCACGTATTTCATCAATTAAATTAGGCTTTAATAGTAAATCATTAGAAATTGAAATTAATAACATAAATCAGAATAATATGTTACTGATGTCATAGAAATAAACCTTTGATTTACTGTTATGATGCTCTATCAGTTTAGCTAAGTGGAATGTTGCACAAATAATATTAAAATTATCTCCTCTAGTTTCATGCCCCCAAATGATCTGGTACGGCCGAGAGTGGGGAGGGTCAGCTATCCCTCTTGAAATACTCTCACATGGCCACGCGTATATAGCCTCTGCCAGGGAAGTTCTACTCACTACCTTCTCGTGGCATAGCTGTTTTTTACGATATTGAGAGGACGAAAAGGGAATTTCCAGCGCTTTAAACGAGTTGGTGAACACGGAGAGTTAACCTAGGGGAGTTGGAAAACCCTGATTCCAAACCAATGGTGCACATGGGTTCTAGTATTCTGAGGGAACAAATGGCGTTGGTCACAGGCTACCATGGGACTACATTTCCTTACGATGTTCCACTGCCTTATGGATCAAACCTTCAGGTCGAAGGCTCCTGGTGTGGCCCCCTAAGAAAACCACCTGTTTCAATTTGAGCACCCTGTCAGTACCACAGCCTTCACATATATTAAATGAGATTTGTGTGGCGCATATGTATTTGGTGCCTCCTTGTACCAATATCTATGTGTTAAAATAAATAAATAAATAGTTTCATAACTGTTCAGTCAGGACTGTGGTTTTATGGAGACCATTGAATTCGAGAACAGTTTATATAACAAGCTGAATTTACCTACATAACCGTCTAAAATCTGGAGGAATTGGTCTGAAAATTATATGATTGGTTTGAGACATGAAGTTTATGGTTATATCATGTAATTGGGTCTTGACTCCACACTCTTTAGGAGTTTCATACTAGAACACAAAAACTGTTTTATGCTTCCTTCTAAACTCAGTCAGTGATGTAAACTATTTTAAAATTATCATAGTAATTTAGAGGGCAATTTTTTTAAATTTTGAACCAAGCGTTGAATATTAATTTTAATAGGCATCAAACAATCATTTCAGTCATTAGAAAAAGAAATTCAAATGAATTTACCAACACATTCTGGGCAACATTGACCAGGTTCTAGAAGTTGTCCTTCATCTTCTCCACATTGCAAAGTTGGACAAGTTTCTGTTTCACAAACAACTTCACGTGTATTTGGATCACAACGGCATATTGCACATGGAAAGTTTGCTAATCGAACTTGTTCACCGGGGGATAAAACTCTCCCATCGTCCATTGTACAACCTAAAAGAATACAAGAAAATATTTTTCATCATTAACAATCCAAATATCATAATTTAGAAAATATAAGTTAACCATAATAAATAGATTAAATTAGGAAAGTTCTCAGTATTTGTTTTCAATGAAGTTAATATTGAATTTGCCTGAAGATTTTAAGTTCTGTATTCACCATTGGAAAAGTAACTTGAAATTATGTACTACACACAATCCTAAAGTTGGAAGCGATAACATATTCAGTATACTTTATTTTGTTTCCCAGTACTCTGGGAACTAATGTTCCTTTAGAGATTGAGAACGTCTATTTTGAGTCAATAAAGGCATTAGAAGTCCATAATAAAGATTATACAACATAAACACTTTGTTGAGACATACTATTGATTGATTATTTGTTTTAATGTATTCACTCTAATCGTCATTAATTTGAAATAATAATAACAAACATGAATATATCATACTTAAGCGGACATTTTCATTCTTATTCCTTTTGTCCAGAATAAAAACTAAAGTTTCACAATTAAATCATTCAGATCTGGTCACTGAATATCCCCGTATAATCGATTAGTTTTCGAGATGAAGTTTGTATAAATTATGTCAAATAACTGATATACTTATGTCCACTTGTTATTGTTTACTTAAATCTTAACACTGATGTTTAGCACTGCAATTGATCAGTCTATTATTGACTTATGCTTATTACCTCGATATATTACTTTAATTCAAAAATATTATAAGCAAAGATGGATAGTGGCTAGCAATGGAATTCAGGATACGTGTTTTGTCCTATTTAGAACTTGTCAGTTGGATGTATCTGTATCTCAAAATTGATGTTGACGACTCAGTAGCTAAATGGATAGCGTGATGGTATTTGAATCGAATGGTACTGGGTTCGGCTATCGAGGTGAACATTAACTCTGAGATGCAGGCTTATCCAATTGACGAGTCGCAAATAAGACGAAACACGCATCCTGGATTCCACTTCTAGTGATTATCCATCTTTGCTCATAAGACATACTAATGTCTTATTATTCATATATATATATATATATGTAGGTGATTAGAATAAAGAAATTAGGCTCAGTGATTAGCATCTAGGAATTCGAATTAACATGTAAGTATGTGATTAATTTGAATGATTACTTTTAAACTTCGATACTACATTATGGATATTGACTAAGTGATTAATTAAGACATATTTCCTTAACAATGTAAAGAAAAAATTAAACCAATCAGATTGATATTGTTAACAATGAATCTTCTATATATCAACTCAAATCTATCTGAAATTATTCCTACTTGAAGCGGATTTTTTTTTCAGAACATAAACATGTTCAATTCCGCATAACTTACATCCTTTTGGGCAACATTAATAGATATTAAGGTGGATTAAATGTTCACCATTCTATGTTACATATCACTTAAAATAGGCAAGGATATTAGTTAATCTATTCTACAGTAAGGCTGATTAATAATTACTGAAATTTGATGATTTCCTTGAAATATCTGTATAAGTTTTAACTGTAAAATTGTATTGAAATTTAAAGACATTTTTATCAGAATGGAAGGTTTGTAGCGTTTTTTTAAATAGTCGAATTTATTAGTCGATCTATGCTAGATCACCATGGAAAACCTGTAAGCATAGGACGGCCGTTTCGTAGTAGTATGGGACTAATCAACAATGAGACAGTTACCTACTAAAGACAATGATGGACGGTAGTGCGATATTTTGGATTGGTTGGAGTTAGACATTAACACCGTTGGATGCCAGTCAGCTCAGTGATCTAAAGGTTAAGTGTTAGTACGTGAGGTTGAAGGTCTTGAGTGCAGGATCATGGACGCGCACTGCTGAAGAATTCCATACTAGGACGAAGAGGCCATCTAGTGTTTCCAGGTTTTCTAAGGTGGTCTAGTATAGATTGACTCATGTATTCAACTATAAAATTTAAAGATTTATATTAATTCTGTCATGATTAATCATTTACACATATCACTCTTTCTCTTTCTTTTACGCACCATATTTCCAATATGTTTGTTCATTACTCTAAAGTAAAGTGTCCAGTAACAATAAACTTCATCCCATGATAAGACACTTTCAATAACAATCATTTCAAAAAAAGTAATTCGTTATGTAATTGAACATGATTATAGTAACTCAAATTTATTGAAAAGTCTAATGACTAAATTTATAATGAAACAATTTGCATATAAACTCGCTACAATCCTATAGATGGTTAGAGAAGTAATTTTTTATTTAGAATATTTCTTATAGTGTATTTGCAAAATTGTTTTATTCCCTATAATCTATGCAACACCAAGTGTTAAATAATTGCATTACTAATCCATTTGTCAGTACTTTTTATTATTTATTTATCTAAACATATAAACATTGATATAAGGAGGTACCAAATAGATTTGCGTCACGTCAATCATTCGATTTATGTGAGGGTTGTGATATTGACAGGGTGCCCAAACCGAAACAGGTGGTTTTCTTAGGGGGCCACACCTGCAGTCTTCTATCTAAAGGTCTAGTCCACGAGGCAGTGGAGCAACGTCAGGAGATGCAGTCTTTTGGTAGCCGGTGACCAACAATTGGTTCATACACCATTCGTTCCTTCAGAATCTTGGAGCCCATGTACACCACTGGTTTGGAATAAGGGTTTTTCAACTCTCCCAGGTGGAACCTTCATATTCATTAACCTGGTTAAAGCGTTGGAAATTCGCTTTTCGTCCTCTTAATTTCTTAAACAACAGTAATGTCACGAAAAGGCAGTGAATAGGACTTCCTTGGCAGTGTTTGTATGTACGTGGCCATGTGAGAGCATTTTGAGAGGGAGAGATGACTGTCCCCACTTTCGGCCATACCAAGGCATTTGGGAGTAAGTACTCTTTAGCGATAATTCTGTTCTGTTTATTCAAATTGTTACAAGTTCTAGGTAAACAAATAGATAATTTCAACAATTTATCATTTTATTATAGATATCCATATAGTTTGATGATGCTAAGAATCACTTAGTGATAGTTTACGGTTAGTATATTAATAGGAAGAAACTATACAAAATTTGATAATTACCAAATTTCTTTTATAAATACATACTACTTAACATAATTAGGTTAGTAACTTATTGATTAGTTGTGTCCATTTATAAATAAAGAAAATTTACGGATCATTCTTTAAGAAAATAAGTGAAATTTCAATGGCTTAATAAGGTTCATTATTAGAGTCAAACCGATAGATATAATTAAGAAAGTTTATGTTCTCTGAAGATTGTTTGTTTGAATCATCCTATTGATGTTTAAGACAGTAATTGATCAATCCATTATTAGAATATCTATATCCTATGAGGATTGTTTCGATATTGTCTTAAATCACAAAGATTATCAACAAAAATGAATGATTAATTGCACTTCTAAACATCAATGAAAAGATTCAAACAAACAGGACTCAGTATCGAAATGAATAACATGATAGTATTTGTAATGAATGGTACTAGATTCGAGTCTCAGAGTGAATATCAACTCTAGGATGCAAATACATTCAACTGTCAAGTCCTAAATAGGACAAAACGTTTGTCCTGAACGCCAATACTAGCCAACATCTGTCTTTTTTTATATAAATCAATATTACAACTGAACTTAAATTATTTAGGCTTTTAATAATATCCAATCTAGCAATCTAATAAATATGCAACTAATCAACCTCAGTATAATAATAACTAAAATGATATTCTTAAATGGTATTACATAAATATAAAAGATACATGTTTAACTATTATTGGTAACTATTCAAGCCAATTGTATCAATTTTATGAATTGAAAAGGAAGATTACTAAATTAAACAGTTTAAATTCTATTGTGGTGCGCGCTACTTATATTGATGTAAGTTGTATATGACGCGAGTCAGGAACATAATGTCTAGCAGCAGAAGATGGGAGAAGATCAAGAAAGGAAGAGCAACAACACAATGCAATTTGTAAGTAAACGCATGAACAATGAAATGTGAGACAATAGATTAATGTTTGCAACAGCGACAATTCAGGTTGATATGATGCATTAATATTTTGCAAATTAACAATTCACTATATGGTTTTTCTATTTTACCAAGTAACTTTGTAAGTATGTGCTTTTTATAGTTGACTGTCCCTACTCGTGTTCTGTTCACTACACTATAATATATAAAACACTAGGATTTACTATAAGGAAATGAAACTGACATTCAATACATTCAAACTTACATCTAGCTAATTTATAATCATTAGACAACCATAAAACATCATTATTTATCTGTCAATCAGTCAATAGAGTGATTATAATCTGTGGTCATAGTTTATCACAAATGAGAATATTTATCTCGATCAAAACATTAAACTGAGGCATTTGGACCAGAATCGAACACCTAATATCTAATCATTGAATTGTAACCAGTATCTAACAGGTTCATAGAAAATTATACATCATAATAAATTACATAATACGATTAATAGAGTAAATATATTTACTTAATCTAAAATGAATTACTCTATGTGATGTTCAAACATAATCTTTACGTGGCAAGAACCAAAGAGAAAGAAGAAAAATCAAGCTACAATTTAATATAAACTAACCATAGATTCATAGAATGAAAATCAAATCATTAAGTCAACTTTCATCATTTCATGATGGAAGTCTATGATAAGTAAAGTGAATAAATAAACAAAATAAAACAAAAATTTTATATTGAATAGATCAACTTACCTTGAGCATTGATCATATAAACAATACAATGAATTAGAATAAGATGGAATAACATTTTTTTTCTCTCTCACTAATCACAATCGTTTATTTGTTTTTTTCTTTTAAGTAGTATGTAACAAACTCTCCTTTATATTAATTTATATAAGTAGTAGTTTTATATTCATTTTAAAAAAAGAAGGAGAAAAGATAAGAAAAGACAAATACATTTCTGTTAGTTACTAAGTTAATTTTATAATAAGATTTTAAATCAAATTCATGAATTGTTTTAATTTTTCACAAGTTTCATTCATAGAAACTTATTCAGTGTGTAATTGAATAATGATTGTGTAATTGTGTGCATGTCACTGTATACTTTTATTATTACTATTTTTAGAAAAAAAATTTTTATAAGGAAGACTAAGTGCATACATACACTATTCTATATGATTCCCCTTTATAAGGATTGTATCATGTAAGTGAAAATTTGATTCCATTCATCTAACAATCGGTTATTGTTCATCATTACTTAAATCTGAATTATAATAGACATGTACATATGTATAGGGTAGTATATGTATATGTATATAACTTTATAATCTTCTGAGTGCTAATAAGTGCAAATGTGTATTTGTTATAAGGATGAAGAAATATATTTTGTTCTTTTAGAAGTAGAAAAAAAAGGAAAAAAACAAAAGAAAGGAAGAACCAATCAGTATAGTTATTTGATTGGGCACAATTTATTACTTTAATAAGAAAGAATATGCTAAGAATATTCTGAAATTTTACCGGTGGATCTATGTATAGGTGTACATTCAGTTTATACATAGATATATGTATACTTATATATACACATAAAATGTTACCAAAACAGTTGAGAATATATGTCAAGTCATGTTTAGCTAAATATAAACATAATAACAACTAATATTGATGACTGGATTAACTTATTTATTATCTAGTTACTGTAGATAGATAGATATCTATTAATGGAAGAAACACAGTAAGAATCGAGGTGTCGTATTAGAAATCAGCTAAATAAGATGATAGAAAATTAAGAAATATTCTTGATTAGAATCTCTTAATAGTCTGTTAATGTTAATTTATAGGTTACAGTTTCAATTACGAAAGGATAGAAGACTATAAGTTCTTTTCTTTAGTTTTAAAAATGATTCGATCATCTTTTGGATTTGTCAATAGAAAAAAGTTTCAACTTGATACTACATCGTAGTATGACGTGTGTATCAAATCGTTGTGTATCTACACGATAGTTAATCAATTAATAATCACTGTCTCTTTATTTATTCATTTATGCTTTGATAGTCGATATAAATCATAATAAATTTGGATGGATTTATTCATAGTTACATGATAATGGAAATCGATTACATCGTTTATTACTGGGTTTCAACATTTTATTCTAAACTACTGTTAAACCGAAAAAATCTTGCTTCTTAATTATGTCATAAATTTGATAGCCCAGTGGTAACATTTCTGACTGTGAAGCTAGGTGGCAAGGGATCGAACCCATCAGGGAGAATCAGTTCCCATAAAATTCCAGGCATATCTTGCTGACGAGTGTCAAATAACACAATACCTGGGTCCAGGGTTTCCTGTTAACTATCTCCAACCACCAATTTATAGGATATTTCTTTCGAGCAGTTTCCTGTCAATGCTGTACATTCGTTTTTAACCGAAGTATAAAATCAATATCAAATAACTGATAGATCTATTCGACAATGTATATCATAAAATTTGTTTTGAATATGGATGGAAAGTTAAAATTAAGAATACGACTAAAGCTATATTACATAATCAACCGAATATTACAAATAGTTACACAGGTATGAGAATAGTTCGAAATTAAGCAATTACTTATGAATGTTCAATGTTACTTGTACATTTATTAACAGATAATTCATTCAGCCAGTGAGAAAAAAACTGGATAGATGTTTAGGGTAGATTACATAACAATAAATTTAGAAATTAAAACTGAATTAAGATGACAAAAATGGATAATTGAAAAGAATATTTTGAGAGACAGAAGGATATTTATGTAAAAAGTTAAATTAAATGAAAGAGGCTGTATAAACCTACGGGATCCTTTGTAATAGATTGATTCGAGAATCATAGAGAAAGTTCAATGGAACTTGGTGAATAACCTTGAAAGCCGAACTTGTGTAACTGTGGCATTCAGTCTCAGTTAAGAGATACATATTGTTTTATCGTCACCTTTAGTAAACCATATAAAATGAAGTTCAGAAATCAAAGAATGTAATGGTTTGAGAGTATAGTCGATATAAATGGCTCTACAACAGCAATTAAAATGGTACACACAAATAGATGAAGGGGGGAGTAGATAATTTATCTTTATTTCTTGATCACTGGAAAGAGCTCACTACCGATTTCATTAATGAATAAACAAAGAAAGGAGAATATAGTGTTGCAGCGATAAATGTTTTTCCCCGGCTCTTCTTGATGTATAAACTCAACTTGACTGGCTATATCGACTTTAAATTGTAATTTCAGGAATTGTGGCTTTTTACGTACTGACAGTGACTTTTTTAGACTTAGTTAACAATATATGATTCATCAGGAACTTTGATGATTATTCATTTTTGTTTAGTAAATCATGGATAAGCATTCTTTCCTCTTCAAAGATGTCATGAGAACAAATGACCATACCTCTGTGCAACAGATATTTAAATAATTTTCGATTACATTAACTTCAAAGTCCTCAATGAGCATCTAAATCATAGCACAAAATTCAGTAAAGCAAAATAGTCCACAGATTGTTTATGTATAGAAATGTATAGAAATGAACCGCTATCCGAAGACGTACTGAAAAATGCTTCGTTGTTTGACCAAACCGAAAAGAAATTGACATTATATGCTTTGAATCATAGTGAACTCAATTGAATCAGACATTAAATAAAACAGCTACTTACATATTTGATTCTGTTCTGTTGTTTAATATGATAGGAGTTTCTGTTCTTTCCATTATAACTCATACTTGGTAAATTGGTTTATTATACAATTCAATACTTACAGAATTGGATATGTGGAATACTCAATGTATCATTTATCAAATTTTACCCAAGTAAGAGTATGTTATTCAAGTGGTCTGTAATACTGATTTTTAAAGGTAACGTTCTTATGACATATTATTTCCAAGTTTGATTATGAAATGATCCTCTCATGGTTGAATCAAGGAGTTCTATTCATTAACATCTTTAGATTAATAATAACAGTATCAAACTATCTTTTACTTATTTCACTAGCAATATATTTTATAACTAGAAAATAACTGAATGCTAGATATTGTAGTGAATATTCATGGTTGAATGACTTCCATGGAATACCATGTGGACACTACCTATTGATGGTTGTAATTTAATTGCAAATTCGTTTAAATATAATCACCAGATTGTTTTTTTCTTAAATTTATCAACGTTTAGTTGAGGCAACTATCATCATACATCCAAAAAGTATGGGATTTACTAGGAAAGAAGAGTTTTTGTGGTGAAAATTATATTATATCTAGAATGGGAAAACCTATTATAGATCTTGAAAAATACATACATTATATATAACCTATCTATACATCTTCATTTCATAACATAACTATCAAAAAGCTTTTTAACTGACCTATATGCATCCTTATTGAATATTAATATGTGTAAAAACGTATAAGCTATGGTCAGAATGGAGTTTGTGGAGATGATAGTAATATTATTAGTTAAATTCATGGCTCAATCTATGCTAGACCACCATTGAAAATCTAAAAGCATTGGACAACCGTTTCGTCCTAGTATCCAATTTCTCGACAGTGCACATCCATGATCCTGCATGCGGAATGCGAACCCAGGACCTCCGATCTCGCATACAAACACTTAACCTTTAGACCACTGAGTTGACCAGCATCCAATGGTGTTAATAGCTAACTTCCACTGATCCATGAATAGCTGCGCATAACCATTTTTAAAAGACTGAAACTACTCGAAATGATTTTTTAACTAAGATAAGTATGGGACTCCTCAGCAGTGTGCATACACGATTCTGCACTTTGCGAGATTCAATGGTTGAAGTTAGACATTAACACCGTTGGACGCTGGCTCAGTGGTCTAGTTGGTTAGCCGCTTGGCGCGAGACTGATAGGTCCTGGGTCCGAATCTTGCGAGGTGCGGGATCGTGGATACGCACTGCTGAGGAGTCCCATACTAGGACAAAGCGGACGTCTAGTGCTTCCGGATTTTCCATGGTAGTCTAGCTTCAATTGATTCCAATCTGTGATATTTCTAAAATCTCCACAAACCCCTTCTGATAATATAAGTATCCTATTTTCATTAGATAAACTGACCAATGTAAACTTCAAATTGTATAATCTATGAAAATAAAATCTTTATTTCATAATATAATGATAAAATAAAGATGTATTTATCCTTTGACATTTTCAAATGTATTTCTAATACATAAATGAAAAATAGGATAACCAATCATTGAATTACAGACATATACAAACATTCGCTTAAAATTGAACACATTTCTTTAGTCTAAAATCTAGGACAGAAAGAAATGATTACAATGATTATATTATTCACTTTATTGCTTTCATTCTTTCAATGTCATTCTTCCTATAACTCCCTTTCTCTATGGTGTATATAACTGTTTGTGTCCTAATCTTATAAATGTCCGATATATAATACATGATATTGGCATTAAGATAAACGCAGTGTATGGGTGTGTGTGTGTGTGAATGTGTGCTATAAGGTGGTACACTGATCCTGTTTATTCGATTGTCTATATCCCTTGAGATAATACTCTGTAAATTTTCCCGTCTTCATTTATAGCACAAATTGACGTAAACCATTTATATTTAAAAAAAGTGTATTCTATGAAATTCCTAATTAAGTTCGATTTTTTTTCTTATCGCTTGATATTAACTATTTTACAAAATTGATAAATTTATATTTTATTCTAGATTTTAGACAATAACACCAAGCACTACTAGGTTCTATCTTTCAATGTAACCAAAAACTAGAAGAAGAAAACACAAAGATTCACTAATCCAAATATTGTTTCAAAAAGAAAGAAAGAAAGAAGGAAAGTAATCATTAATTTGTGAAAAGGTGAATGGGTATCTATGGCGGTAACTATTAGGAGTGCATACACACATTGAATAAATAGCACAAATAAACATACATTATAATGTCTATTTGTTGTGCAAGAATTTTGTGTATACTTACTAATTCTTGTCTCAAACTACTGTCTTATACAACAAGTATACACACACATATATATATACAGGAAAAACAAAACATTAGGACGAAAGAAAGGAAGAGAAAGGTAACT